TCCCTGTGGGGCGCTGGCGCAGTGACGGGGGTCTCTGGGGTTTGCAGCGGGGGAGGGGAGCTGTTGACCAGGGGTTGGGGCGCTGAGAGCGCAGTGTAGGGACCCCCGGGGGTGGGGAGCCTAGAAACTGCTCGGGGGGGAGGGGGGCGGTTTCGGGGTGCCGGGAGCGCAGGGGTCAGTCTCGGTGGTATTGTTCGCCCCGGGCTGGTTAATCCCTTTACGAGGCTCTTATCAGCCGCGGCTCTGCTGGGGGAGAATCGCCAGCGCCAGCTCAGGCTGGTTGGGCCTTCAGGGTCTCTCTATCAACAACAGGCTGCTCCAGCTTCGAAATATCCCGGGGGGAGGAAGGGTTAAAAGTTGCCGGGAGCGCAGGGGTCAGTCTCGGTGGTATTGTTCGCCCCGGGCTGGTTAATCCCTTTACGAGGCTCTTATCAGCCGCGGCTCTGCTGGGGGAGAATCGCCAGCGCCAGCTCAGGCTGGTTGGGCCTTCAGGGTCTCTCTATCAACAACAGGCTGCTCCAGCTTCGAAATATCCCGGGGGGAGGAAGGGTTAAAAGTGCCCTGATTGTTTCGGCTTCTGGTGAATTGATGGGCAGAACTTTTTTTTTTTTTTTTAAAGTGCACGGATTGACGGGGCAGCGGAGATTTGAACCTTTCACATTTGAAAGAGATTTAAAATGTTGGGATATCGATATCCCCTCACCCTCCCTCCCTCCCTTCCTGCTCCTCCGTAATCTCCAGGAGGTCAGCTTATTTGGAGGAGTTAAACATTGGCAGCGACTGCAGCTTCAGCAGTTAGGTGCTGTGCTGTGAATTCAGGCCACTTGTTCCTTAATTTTAATTTGTTTTTGGAGACGGTGACATGCTCTGCCTTCCCTTGTACCATCTTCTTCTTCCCCTCCTCCTCGTAGCTCTACCTCATCAAAGCATAGGGCTCAAACAGGAAACTTTATTGAGGAAGTCTAAATCTGAAATGTTTGATCATCTCTAAGAAGGGCTGATCGTAAGCACCCATTGACAGATTCATTTCCTCATAGAAACCGAGTGTAAGCTGGGTGCTGTCTCTGCCACCGTTCACAAAGGACTCTATAATCAGATCGTGGGCTAGTTCTGGCCGCCAGATATATCTTTCAGCCCGCATAGGCGCATACTCCTCTAATTGTTGGACAGCTTCAGCACCCTTTTGAAGTTGCACCACAGACAATAGGCTGTTTTGTGTTTACTTCCTGTATCTCAATATATTCTTGGAAACATGAAATGACTGTATCTTGACTTCACGCTGTACGAGCAGGCAGGGTGCACAAAGGTAGTTTTTAACGTAGGCTTCCTCCCCCTAACAAAATTAAAATCAGATGTGCATTCTTGAGTGAGAATCAGGAGCTGGGGCTTTTTTTTTTTTTTTTTTTTTCCCCTCTTGCTGGTACATCATCTGGGCGAGCTTGGCAGCTTGTGTATTTTGGCACTGGGGCTCGTCTGGTAACAGAAGACAAACTGTTTGGCTTGTTTTGTCTGTCTCGTGGTCCTGTCTTGCTGTAAGTGGCAGGGCACAAGAGAAGCAAATATTATAGGCTGTGATTATGCGTCGCAGTGTGAAGCTGGGTGGCAGCCCTAGATCCCTCTGGCTGCTTGTAGTTGGGATTTTGGGGGTGCCAGGGCTGGGAGTCGGGGAAGGACTTGAGGCTTGTGGGATCCACTTTGGGTAAAGGAGAGTTGTGCTGCCAGGAATGAGACTGATGATGGAAACGAGCAACAGCTCTCTCTCTTTCTTTCACAGCCAGCAGGAGGGTGAAAATGAAAGCAGGCTGCAGCATTGTGGACAAGCCAGAAGGAGGAGGAGGTAAGCGACAGTGTCTAGCCTGAAATTCTGCACCCTGGGACCTCTCATGGCCTGATTTGCACTTACGCTAAGACTCCTTGACATAGCTCTGGCAGCACAAATAAGCCTTAAATTGGGCTACTGGAGCAGTGTGTACATGGGGAATCAATGTGAATATCAGCTGGCACCTAGATTAGAGATGAGGTTTGATGTCCTATGATTTCTGTATTTAGAGTCCCCTAAAGCAGTTACTGGATAAGTTCTCAATAAATTATCTGGTGAACCTTACAGGGTATGTGATATTTCAGCTTGATTCCAGGCTGGCGTATAACTGCTTTCAAGAGCCATTACTATCTAATACAGTGGAGACATAGATGCCATTCAAGCATAACGTGGTTTGGCCTAGCACAATTCACAAGCCAACCAAAACCTTGTCAGTGATTCAGGAAGCCCCAGTAGCAACAGTTGCGCTGGAGCCCTATGCTGGCATGGCCAGCCTTGGCAGCAGTTCAGAAACACGGCAGCATGCCCAGAGTCAGGGCAGGGGAGAGTCTGACATCAAGGCTTACTAGAATCAGTTGGGTCACTGATGTGGGTACTTTATTTTGGACGCTCACCTTCAAAAACTGTGGTAATGTCTCAAGTTTTTGGGCCTCTCTCCAATGTTTCCAGCTCTTTTAGTCCCTTATATTTTTGTGTCTTTCTTCTGTTCAGTTTTGCAGTTTGTTTTTCAACTTTGCAGTACGAACCGGTTCCAGCCAGTGGTCTGGATTCCTAGGTACCAGGCCAGTAATTATATCCACCATCTGTCTGTTAGACCCTAACCAAGATAAGAGACCTCTAGTAGTAGAACATGTACAAACAGCAAAAGACACCCCATGTTAAAGAGCTTGAAGATGTTGGGTTCCGATCCCAGACCAAACTAGCAGCACATTCTTTTCTCTGAGCTTCTCATTTGTTCCCTCTTGCTTTCGGTACTTTTCAAGGCTATCACTTCCCGGAGTGGGCCTACAAGACTGAGTCCAGCCCTGGCTCCCGTCAGATCCAGCTGTGGCATTTCATCCTGGAGCTCCTGCAGAAGGAGGAGTTCCGCCATGTCATTGCCTGGCAGCAGGGCGAATATGGAGAGTTTGTGATCAAGGACCCCGACGAGGTGGCACGGCTGTGGGGCCGGAGGAAATGCAAGCCCCAGATGAACTATGACAAGCTGAGCCGGGCACTTAGGTGAGTGGAAGCAGGGATAAAAATGGTCATTAACTAGAGCAGTGGAGGTTTTTGGGCATGGATAACCAGAAGACTTAGTTAATCCACATAGAACATGAATTATGGGGATTGTCTTAATCTCCCTGTCTCAGTTGTCCCTGGAGAGCTTTGGCTCTGAGTTTGGCTTGTATCTGGGAAAGGCTGGGAATATTTCCAAGCAGCTATGACCTGACAGACTGGTTCTGTCCCCAGCTGTGGCAGGCAAGGAGGTAAATTTCCCCTAATAAGATGAAGATTGTTGTAATCAGGATTAATTTGTTCCAGGGAGCTTTGCTGCCTCTCTTCTCTTCCTCCATTGTTGATGCCTCCCTGACCAGCGTAGGTGTGGGAGGAAACCTTAGGTGTGCTCCATTATCTCTCCATCAGCGATAATTTCAGAGAAAGCAACTCCCCTCTCCAGTGTAAACGTTTCTTGTGCCAAACTAGGGTGAAGAGCCAGGGTTCCTTTCCAGCCCCCAGTCAGTCATTTTACAGTGTCCCCATTTCTACCTACAGTTACGCAAATGTTGCCCGTCTAGTATTTATATGTTTCTGTGTAGCAAGAAATTCCATAGATCAGCTCTGCTGCATTCTCTTTAGCAGCTCTAAACTATTTTGGAGCCCTACAGCTGGTGTCGGAAGTCCTGCTATCCTCATGAGAGATCACCCACGGGTCGGAGATGCTATGCAGCCAGCAGCTCCTTTGTTTAGAAACATCTGACACGGTGACAAGGGCTCGATCAGCTGACAGCCTGTCCTTGATAGCGTCAGATCTCCCAGTGAAATTCCCCCCAGCTTTACTTACCCATATCAAGTGTTTTTTCAATCACCCCTTTGTAGTTTGAAGGGGAAGTAACCAGAAATGGATGCAGTCCTGTGGGAAAGCACAGTTTAGCAAGGGCTGTCATTATAAAAATGACTTTGGGTTCCTTTGCGAGAGGCTGTGGTGTTCCCCACATTGCCAATTATATGGACCTCGCTGCCATGTGCCCTCTGATCCTTCCCGGGTGGGGCAGGCAGAAGATAAACAAGGCAGCAAACACAACAGGCTCATAATGGAACAGGAAGGAAACAATAAATCGAATGGCACCAACACTGTAATTGATGTATGGGAGTGGAAGGGACTCCACCTGCCCAATCTGGCTGTGCTTGGTGCCTCCGTCACACCAAAGACAGCAGAGAAGTGAGATTAATCAGTGCTGCTGGCCTGAGTCTCTGCCTTGAGTAGGAGCCTTAGTCTTCCTGCTTCTACCTGGAGCCACAGCTGCTTGATTTCACCTCGTCTGTGCCAGCGAGAAGAGCAGGCAACCTGCCTTTTAAAGAAGCGGTGGTGGGACCAAATAGCGTGCTACATCTCTGTACATTCCATATTACTGAAAGAATAAAGACCAGAGGTGGCCTGGCTATAAACAGTTGTGGCTCCTCTTCCAGGTGCATGGAGGTTACTTGAGTGCTGGCTTCTAGTCTCGATCCCACTGCATCCCTGTGGCCATTATTGCTGTGGCTTATGTAGTAATATACCAGTAATGCAGTGCGTGGTTGGTTGCCTCCAGTGTGATTTAGCAGTTGGAAATGAAGAGCTTGTGCAACCAGGCTTCTCTCTGTGGACTGTTAATGAGCCTTCTGGAGACCCTGGGACAGGGCTCTCTCCCTTGGGAGAGTGTCACTTGATCTAACAATGTGGGAGGCACTGTAGCCTTCTAAGGAGCATATCAGACGAACACACGGGCCTGCTGGGTTGGTCACCTTAGGCAAGTGATTTCCCTTCTGTCTGCCTCTGTTTGATACCATACTCTTCGTGCCAGTGCTAAGTTCCTCCAGAGCTGTTGGGGCTGCTGCTGAGAAGTACCCAGGTGCCAGCTGGGCACGTTTGACCAACCTCCATTGTCTTGTGCTTCTCTTCTTCCTCATGTTCTAAATGATCGTATCTCTCTGTAGTCAAGCAAGACGTGCACATGGCAGGCACCGGGTGGTCTGTAGACTGGTGTAAGCATCAGAAATGGGGCTGCCTTTGCTCAGGTGGGCAGGCATCCTAATAGCCTTACATTTTTGACCCTTTCTTCCAACAGATACTATTACAACAAACGGATTCTTCACAAGACAAAGGGCAAGAGGTTCACCTACAAGTTCAACTTCAACAAGCTGGTGATGCCCAACTACCCGTTCATTAACATACGGCCCAACGGTAAGCTGGTCCCTGGGCTCTGGCAGATGTTAATCGGTGCTGGAGACTGGGTGCACATGGAATCCCGGTACAAGACAATAGGGCAGGTGGGAAGATAAAGCCGACTGGGCAATCTATGCAGGTTCACCTCTCGGGGATCTTTAGCTTGAAAGACTGGGCCCAAGCTATCAGTGCTAATGTGGTGGGAATGTGTGGACTGTGATAATGCTTTATCTGGAATTCCCCTTCCCTGTGTCACAAACTCATCTGTGGTTGCCTTCAGGGCAGGCTCAAGGCATTCTGGTTTCCTATTGAGCAGGCTCCTTGAGATGTCCGTATTGGATGCGGCAGGTTTGCTTTGCTCCCAGTGTTACTGGGGTGTGTTGCCCTTCTGATAATGGAGGGGTTTAGTTATATTGCCAGGGACCTTGTCTTACGTGTTTGCAAAGCACGGAGTGTATTTACAGCACCATGTGACCTTTCTCGCTGAGGGGCCCAGAGGTCTGCAGGCATGGGTGCGTGCGAATGTTATCAAAATGTTCACAACCTAATGACAGTGGCAGAGCTCCCTGCTCTTGTGAAGATCGGTTCAAACAGCTCTTATGCCGCCAACTGCCCAGTTTGCTGGCTCTTCCACCCCTTTGATGTCAAGCCGAACAAATTCTTTGCTACGTTGCTTTGGCTTTCAGGGTAATTTACTAGCGAGTGCAGTTCAGAGCAGTTTCAAGGGATGGATATGAACTATGTCATGGGTTTGAAGGGTGGCACAGGAGCTTCTGAACTCCTGCTGTGACCCAAATCCACAGTGATTCACAGAAAGTTTCAGTGGTGGTCATTAGCATGTCCTCAGCACAGTCTCCTGGAGAAAAGTTACTCCAAGGTGGGAGCTAGCACTTATGCTAAAGACAAGTCCACCCTGTGTGAGCTAGAAACCCCTGAAACCATTTTATATGACCCTGGATTCTGACCTAAAGGAACACTGATGTTGAAGGGCGAGTGCCTGGAGCTGGGCTGGGCTGGGAGCCACAGCTGCCTCTGAGAAAGTGGCTGTGGCCAGCAAAGCACTTTAGGAAGCCACTGAATGCTGGTCTCAGGCAACAGATCTCCTTCCTGTAAGAACCAGCTCAGCAGGGACCCAGGGCTACCTGTGCTTAGAGCACTCCCAGAGAAGTCTTTGGGAGCAGCTGCCAAGTAGAAAGGGGGTGCAGGAGCTGAGCATTGATACCAAGGCACTTGCACCTCTGCAAAGCTGGCAGGGCTCGTCTTCCAAGAGAAGGATGTTTGTCATCCTTGTTGTAGTTCTCTCTTCCTAGATACTGTGATAACAGAAGACTTCGTAATACCTCGAGTGAGCTTGGCACCGCACCTGTCATGTGTCTCATTCCTCAGCTGACTCAAGTTGCACCAGGAAACCTTAGCCCTGAAAGAATAGAAATGGGGTTTCAAAGAGATGGTCCTTCAAGCACCTGCTTGCTTGTGAACCAAGGGGGTGTGCAGAGAGAGACCTCACCACTGAGGCAGTGATACTGCCTCCATGTAAGAAATGCTGCATTTGCAGAAGGAGAAACATATTTTCCAGAGCATGGGGAGCACAAAACATCGTGTGAGGCTGCACTGCCAAGCTGTAATTACTGCAGCAACAAGTCCAGGCAGCTCCTTCTCGCCATTGCTTGCTGCTGTTCCTTTTCCCTGTTTGCAGGCACTCCCTTTTGTCTCTGGGGCATGCATTTAAAAAAAAAAAAAAGTTTGGAGACTTGGAATGCATCTGTCTAATTTAATTACAACCTGTTTTGTTTTCTCGTGGCTGGTATGGGGGTTGGGAAAGCAAACCTGTTTGGGACACTGGGATCCGGTTTTCTCTCCTCACTCTCCCTTGTGTGCTTTAACGGGGTGGAAGAAGCTGAACTGAGGGGTGCAAGGGGAGAAAGCGGGTGTGAGAGTGCATTCATCAGACTCCTATTAGCAGCAGTGAATCCAAGGCAGTGGGGTGTTCTCTGTCCTTCTGCCAGAAGTCAGATCTGAAACTGGTCACTGCTGGGAGCACATGGTCTGAGCCGAAAGGCCGAGTGCTAGAACCTCTGCCGCTCCAGGAAAGCCCACACTCATGCTTTGCAAACACCCACTGTGGGGTTCAGAGCATGTGGGAGCTGCAGCGAGGCCTCATTGCATAACGCTCCTGCAGGCTTCAAGCTCAGGAGAGCAGGGGACAGGTGCATGGTGTGTTAGGGTGTGAAAGTCGATGATGAATGGACAGTGCTAAGAGACAAAAGCAACTCCAGGAGCTGAAGGGAGGATCCTTTGCCCTTCGGCAAGATCCTAAGGTGGGGGTAGAGGAAGGCAGAGCTGCAGGTGGGAGGAGAGGGAAGA